CACACGCACACGCACACGCACACGCACAAGCACACGCACACGCACACGCAGACAGACACACACACACACACGCACACACACACAGACACACGCACACACACACAAGCACACAAGCACACGCACACGCACAAGACGCACACGCACACGCACACGCACACGCACAAACACACGCACACGCACACGCACACAGACACAAACGAGGGCGATTTGGACAAGGGCGGGGGGGGGGCCGCGAATCGCCGGGTCGCCGGGTCGCCGGGTCGCCGGGTCGCCGGGTCGCCGGGTCGCCGGGTCGCCGGGTCGCCGGGTCGCCGGGTCGCCGGGTCCTCGGGTCGCCGGGTCGCCGGGTCGCCGGGTCGCCGGGTCGCCGGGTCGCCGGGTCGCCGGGTCGCTCGCCGGGTCGCTCGCCGGGTCGCTCGCCGGGTCGCCGGGTCGCCGGGTCGCCGGGTCGCCGGGTCGCCGGGTCGCCGGGTCGCCGGGTCGCCGGGTCGCCGCTCGCCGGGTCGCTCGCCGGGTCGCCGGGTCGCCGGGTCGCCGGGTCGCCGGGTCGCCGGGTCGCCGGGTCGCCGGGTCGCCGGGTCCTCGGGTCGCCGGGTCGCCGGGTCGCCGGGTCCTGGGTCGCCGGGTCTCTCGCCGGGGTCGCCGGGTCGCCGGGTCCGCCGGTCGCCGGAGTGCCGGTCGTCGGTCGTCGCGGGTCGCCGGTCGCCGGTCGCCGGGTCGCCGGTCGGCCGGGTCGCGGGTCGCGGGATCGCCGGGTCGCGGTCGCTGGGTCGCCGTGGGTCGCCGGGTCGCCGGGTCCGGGTCGCCGGGTCGCCGGGTCGCCGGGTCGCGGTCGCCGGGTCGCCGGCCAGGTCGCCGGGTCGCCGGGTCGCCGGGTCGCCGGGTCGCCGGGTCGCCGGGTCGCTCGCGCCGGGTCGCCGGGTCGCCGGGTCGCCGGGTCGCCGGGTCGCGGGTGGCCGGGTCGCCGGGTCGCTCGCCGGGTCGCGGGTCGCCGGGTCGCCGGGTCGCCGGGTCGCCGGGTCGCCGGGTCGCCGGGTCGCCGGGTCGCCGGGTCCTCGGGTCGCCGGGTCGCCGGGTCGCCGGGTCGCCGGGTCGCTCGGTCGCCGGGTCGCCGGGTCGCCGGGTCGCCGGGTCGCCAGGTCGCCGGGTCGCCGGGTCGCCGGTGGGCAGAGGAGGAGAAGAGGTGTTGCTGGAATGTGGCGATTGCGAGAGATGATGACCATGGTGGTGGTGATGATGACGACGTTGACGACGACGACGTCGACGACGATACGATGATGATGGCGGTGATGATGATGACGACGACGATTACGATGGCGATGAATATGATGATGACGGTGATGATGATGATGTATATTATGTGATGATGGTGATAGTGATGATGATTACGATGGCGTGATTATTGCGATGACGACGGTGTTGGTGATGGTGACCTTGCGGGCTTGCGTGGGTCGACAGATCCTCAGGAAGAGGGGGCGATTGACATTTTACAGCGCCTCAACGTCCCAGGGGGCACGGTGGCGGATCTGCAGCTATTTGGAGATATATTATGTAGCTATATTGGAGGTCATCTTGGGTGTTCTGAGGCCTCCTGGGTCTTGGAGGCTATCTTGGGTCATCTTGGACGCTCCAATCGGTCGCCGCCACTCCTGTCCGGACCCGGCGGACTAGGCGGGATCCCCAGGCAATAGGAGGCGGATGGGGTATAGAGTATGAGGAGCAGGAGGAAAGGAGGGGGAGGAGGAGGAGGAGGTGGAGGAGGAGGAGGAGGAGGAGGAAGAGAAGGAGGGGGAACAGGAGGACGAGGACGAGGAGGGGGGGGAGGAGCAGTACGAGGAGGAGGTGGAGGAGGAGGATGAGGAGGAGGAGTGGGAGGAGGAGGAGGAGGAGGAGGAGGAGGAGGAGGAGGAGGAGGAGGAGGAGGAGGAGGAGCGGGATAAGGAAAAGGAGGAGGAGGCGGAGGAGGTGGAGGAGGAGGAGGAGGAGGTGGCGGAGGAGGAGGAGGAAGTGGAGGAATGGGGGATGGTGAGACCGAAGAGGAGGAGAAGGAGAAGGAGGATGGGGAGGGGGAGGACGATGAGGACGATGATGGGGAGGATGAGGAGGAGGAGGAGGAGGAGGAGGAGGAGGAGGAGGGGAGCAGGAGGAGGAGGAGGAGGAGGAATGTGGCGGTAGCGAGAGATGGTGATGATGATGATGATGGTGGTGATGATGATGATGATGATGATGATGACGACGACGACGATGACGATGACAATGGTGGAGATGATGACGATGATGACGATGATGACGAGGACGATTACGATGGCGATGAAGATGATGATGACGGTGGTGATGATGATTACTATGGGATGACGATGTTGATTAGTATGGAGTGATGATGGTGATGATGATGGTGTTGGTCGTGGTGACCTTGCGGGCTTGCCCTGGGGTCGACAGATCCTCAGGAAGAGGGGGCGATCGACATTTTACCGCGCCTGAACGTAGGGGGCGCGGTGGCGGATCTGCAGCTATTTGGAGATATATGTAGCTATATTGGAGGTCATCTTGGGTGTTCTGAGGCCTCCTGGGTCTTGGAGGCTATCTTGGGTCATCTTGGACGCCCCAATCGGTCGCCACCACTCCTGTCCAGACCCGGAACACTAGGCGGGATCCCCGGGCAATGGGAGGCGGATGGGGTATAGAGTATGAGGAGCAGGACAAGAGGAGGAGGAGGAGAAGAGGAGGAGGAGGAGGAGGAGGAAGAGGAGGAGGAAGAGGAGGAGGACGAGGACGAGGAGGCGGGGGAGGAGCAGTACGAGGAGGAGGTGGAGGAGGAGGATGATGACGAGGAGGAGTGGGAAGAGGATTGGGATGAGGAGGATGAGGAGGAGGAGGCGGAGAAGGTGGAGGAGGAGGTGGAGGAGGAGAAGGACATGGAGGAATGGAGGACGGTGAAACCGAAGAGCAGGAGGAGGAGAAGGAGGAGGGGGAGGAGGATGACGACGATGAGGACGATGATGGATAGGAGGAGGAGGAGGAGGAGGAGGAGGAGGAGGAGGAGGAGAAGGAGGAGGAGGAGGAGGAGGAGGGGGAGGGGGAGGGGGAGGAGGAGAGGGAGGAGGGGAAGGAGGAGGAGGAGGAGGAGGGGGAACCCAGCTTCGAGCGCGTTTTCGGCTGCAGTCAACAGGCTGACCAGAGCACTGTTGAATGTCCGGAGCCGTTGTGGCTCCAGGCTACTCCAACCAGCACAAACGAGGGCTGCTTGCCCGGCAATCCGCCAGAGTCTCCGGTGTCATGGTGGGCGACTGCAAAGGTGAAGGGTGTTGTTGGGGCAAGGACGGCGGCGCCTCGCAGACAGCGGCCCGATTATGCTTGCTATGCCAGACGCTGATGAGTGGCGCATTGCCCGCAGAGGGCAAGGCACGCGCTCCCTTCGTGAGGCTGATGCGGGCCCTCCCGCTCCGCACGCAGGACCCGGGGCATGGGCGGCCCCTTGTGCCGAACCAGAACGAGAACCGAAGCTGTGAAGACGACCACGACCACAACCACGACCACGACGACGCCGACGACGACGCCGACGACGACGACGACGGCGACGACGACGACGACGAAAGACGACGACGAAAGACGAAGGACGAAGGACGAACGACGACCGACGACGACGAACGACGACCGACGACCAGCGACCGACGAACGACGAAAGACAGCCGACGACGACGACGACGGCGACGACGAGGAGATGTGGTACGTTCGAGCTGGTCCAGAGATGGGCGTCGCGGCGCGCGCTGCCGTGGGCCCGGCGGACGCGAAGGAGAGGGGGCCCCGGGAGAAGAGGGAGGAGCGGTCCAAGGGGCCCGCGCAGGACAACAAGGGGGGCCGGCAGAGCAAGGGCGGGAGCTGGGTCGGCAAAGACAGGAACGCGCCGGACAACTGGGGCGCGGGGAAGCGGGCGCCGGAGGACGAGCTGGGGAAAAACAAGAGTGAGGAGTGGCACGGCCACACCTGGCCGCGCGGCGGCGGTTGGGCCTCGTGGTCGGGCGCGCGGTGGTCGAGTGCGTCGTGGACGAGCACGTCGTGGTCGAGGGCCAACTGGGGCGAGGTGTCGGCGGGCGGGCGTCCCGGGGAGGAAGGTGCTTGATCGCACTTTCTGGAGCGCGCCAGGGGCCGCGATGGGCGGAGGCAGAAGAGACAGAGCGGGGCCATCATGCTCGTGATCGCCCCCCTCTCGGCCAGAGTCTTCGGAAGCCTCCGGCATATTCCGGGGGCCGCCCGCGTCGTCGTCGTCGTCGTCGTCGTCGTCGTCTCTGGCGTTGCAGTCGTCGTCGTCGTCGTCGTCGTCGTCGTCGTCGTCGTCGTCGTCGTCGTCGTCGTCGTCGTGGTCGTCGTCGTCGTCGTCGTCGTCGTCGTCGTCGTCGTCGTCGTCGTCGGCGTCGTCGTCGTCGTGGTCGTTGTCGTCGTCGTCGTTGTCGTCGTCGTCGCGGTCGCGGTCGCGGTCGCGTTCGCGTTCGCGGTCGTGGGCCCCCCGTGAGCACGCCCGTGACGGGCAGTAAACGAAGTAAAGAATCCGTCGCAGTGCCTGGCGTGTTTCTGGAATGTGCATTTTCCCCGCGGGGCCCCACAGTCCGACGCAGGGGTGGTCGCGCGCGTCGCGCGCCTCGGAGCAGCCGCAGGAGAACTGGCAGACGCACGCGGGAACCTCTTGGAGCAGCGACAAAACCCGGCGGAGGGAGGACAGGGAGGGGGAAGAGGGCGCGGACTGGAAGCGGCAGAAGCACTCGGGCGAGGGGTCGAAGAAGGAGGAGCGCAGCCGCGACCAGAAGCCGCGGGACAACTTGACGGAGCGGGGGCAGAAGAGGAATGGGGAGCAGGAGCAGCGCCAGCAAAAGGACGACAGCAAGCGGAAGCCGCAGAGCAACGCAACGGACGCAGAGCAGGAACGCGAGAAGAAGACCTGCGACCCCAAGCCGGACGCGGAAGAGACGGAGAAGAACAAGGGCCAGCAGGAGGACGCGGAGAAGCAGGGCCCCCAGCGGGATCCGTACGAGCACTTGACAGGCCGCACGGCGCGAAACGAGCGGCTGTCAGCAGGGGGAGTAGCGCGCTCAGACTTATGCTTGGTTCGCCTTGGATTGGTCCGAGCGCGCGCCCCCCTCGCGTGCCGCCCGCGTTTCGCGTCGTGTCAGGCGATGCTCTGCAGCAGACGGAGCAGGAGGTCGCTTTCGAAGCCGACTTGGAGGCGTGGCTGGACGAGACGGCGTGGTCGCAGAAGGCGACGGTGGCGAACGGCCACCTCGTGTGGTATAACGCCGACACGTTGGAGTCCGCGTGGACGAAGCCCGCGCCGGCGGATGTCGCGGACCAGAAGAAGAAAGATGTCCTCGTGATGAAGGCGGTGCGGGTGCTCCGTGCCGGCCACTTGGCGCAGGGCACTGCCCTGGCGGGGCGCCTGGGCATGGGCGTCCAGGAGGCGAAGGACCGCTGCGCCGCCGTGGGGGCGGCGCAGCAGCGCAGGGAAGCGCGCGGGAACCATCGCCGCGAGAAGCTGCTCCGCGAGAAGCTGAACCGCGCCGCTGTCTGAGGAACCCCCGCAAGCAGCCAAAGAGGCCGCGGAAGCGCGGGCTGTCGGCGGGGGGTGGCAAGGGGAGGTGGGGGAGAGGGGGGAGGAGGCAGATGGGGGGGGAGGGAGGAGGAGGAGGACGAGGAGGAGGAGGAGGAGGAGGAGGAGGAAGAGGAGGAGGAAGAGAACGCAGAGGATGAGGGGGGAGACGAGCACCGCGACAGGGCGGCTGCGAGGATGGCTGGTGCACGAGGTTTTTGAGCAGTTATTTTTTCCAGGCCGGTCGCGGGTGCGCGCCGCCGCTGGGGGTCATCTCCGGGACTTTTCGCTGCGGCCAGCAGCCGCGCAAATTGGCGAGCGCCAGCCGGCGGACGGCGCCCTGCCTCCTCCGGAAGGAAAACGGCCCCGAAGGACAAGGGTCTGGAGGTTTCCGTCGTCCTCGGGCTTTTGAGCCAGAGCCGGAGCAAGAGACAGAACCCGAGCCAGAGCCAGAATCGGAATCAAAAACAGATCGAGAACAAGGGCCGGAACGAGACCCAGAGCAAGAGCTAGAGGCACAACCACACCCAGAGCCAGAATCAGAACCAGAGCCATGACCAGAAGCAGGGCCAGAACCAGAGCCAGAGCCAGAACCAGAGCCAGAGCCAGAGCCAGAACCAGAGCCAGAGCTGGAACTGGAACCAGAGCCAGAGCCAGGACGAGAGCCAGATCCACAGAATAACCATTGACACAGCCAGAGCCAGAACTGGAACCATAGCCAGAACAAGAGCCACAGCCAGAGCCAGAGACAAAACAGATTTAACAAAAAGCAGAGCCTGAAGCAGAACCTTGACCCATAACAAGAACCATAACCAGAACCACCGTTAAAGCCAGAACCCGAGCCAGAACCAGAGGCAGAAACAGAACCAGAGCGAGAACCAGAACCAGAACCACAACCAGAACCATAGCCATAGCAAGAGCCAGAACTAGAGCCAGAGCCAGAACCAGAACCACAACCAGAACCAGAGCCAGAGCCAGAGCCCAAGCCAGAGCCAAAACTAGAACCAGAAGCAAAACCACAGCCAGAGCCAGAACCAAAACCAGAGCCAGAACCAAAATCAAATCCAGAGCCACAGTCAGAACCCAAACCAGAGCCAGAGGCACAACCACAGCAAGAGCCAGAATCAGAGCCAGAGCCATGACCAGAAGCAGGGCCAGAACCAGACCCAGAGCCAGAACCAGAGCCAGAGCCAGAGCCAGAACCAGAACCAGAGTCAGAACCAGAGCCAGAGCCAGAGCCAGAACCAGAACCAGAGCCAGAGCCAGAAGCAGAGCCAGAGCCAGAACCAGAACCAGAGCCAGAGGCAGGACCAGAGCCGGAGCCAAACTTATAACCAAAGCCAGAGCCAGAGGCAGAACCAGAGCCAGAACCAGAGCCAGAACCAGAGCCTGAGCCAGAGCTGAGAATATATACAACAAAAGCAGAGCCAGAGGCAGGACCTTGGACCATAACCAGGACCACTGTTAAAGCCAACCAGAGCCAGAACCAGAGGCAGGAACAGAACCAGGGCGAGAGCCAGAGCCAGAACCAGAACCAGAGCCAGTGCCAGAGACAGGGCCGGGACCAGAACCAGAGCCACAACCAGAACCAGAACCAGAGCCCAAGCCAGAGCCAGAACTAGAACCAGAACCGGAGCCAGAACCAAAACCAGAGCCAGAACCAGAACCAGAACCAGAGCCAGAGCCAGAACAAGCGCCAGAACCAGAACCAGAACCAGAGCCAGGGCCAGAAACAGAACCAGAACCAGAACCAGAGACAATGCCAGAACCAAAACCAGAGCAAGAACCGGAACCAGAACCTGAGCCAGAACCAGAACCAGAGCCAGAACGAGAACCAAAGTCAGAGCCAGAGCCAAAACCAGAACCAGAGCCAGAACCAGAACCAGAACCAGAGCCAGAACCAGAACCAGAACCAGAGCCAGAGCGAGAACCAGAGCCAGAGCCAGAACCAGAACCAGAACCAGAACCAGAGCCAGAGCCAAAATCAGAACCAGAACCAGAGCCAGAGCCAGAACCAAAACCAGAGCCAGAACCAGAACCAGAACCAGAGCCAGAACCAGAACCAGAGCCGGAACCAGAACCAAAAGCAGAGAATGATCACGACAGCCAGAGCTAGAGCAAGTTCCAAAGCCAGGACCAGAGCTAGAAGCAGAGCCAGAACCAAAGGAAAAATGAACCAGAACCAGTACCGCGATCCAACGGCGAACCCGAACCAGGACCAATACCATGAGCAGAACAAGAGACAGAAGCAGTGCCAGCGAGGGGTCCGTACCGAAATCCAGAAACAGAGCCGCAGGTAGAACCGGGGCGACAGGCAAAAGCAGAGCCCGACCAACAGCCAGAGTTGTACCCATACCGTTTGCAGAGGCACAAAGAAGTCAGAACCCAAATCCAGAACCAGAGCGAAAGCCATCGTCGGCACCACCACCACCATCATCACCATCATTACCATCATCATGATAAGAATGAGGTTCAGCATTCTCGTGACCATCGTCAACACCATCATCGTTGTAACCATCGTCATTTCCATTGTCGCGTCTGTCGCCGTTGTCGTCGTCACCAGGGCCAGCATCGTTGCCCGCGCCGCCATCATGATCATCGCCCCTGTCACTAGGGAGCCACTTTACGTGTCAAGGTTGCGCCCGCGCGCACGCGCGCGCTGCGCTGTCGCTCCCTTTCCAACGCGGAGCGGGGACTGGCGAAGATGGCTGGGGAGGCGGGGAAAGATTTCTCATTCAGTACACTAATGCATCCGTTACCTGCAGCTGCCTTTAGGGTCGTGGCACGCGTGCAATCATGCATGCCAAACGAATTGGCTCCGCCTTTTGTGCGAGCGCTGCTACGCAAAGAACTGAAGGTCGAGGCTGCAGATAACGCAATCAAGAATGTATTGTGGAAGCTGCAGTCGTACGTGGGATTTGGGAATACCAGGGAGCACGACTTAAATCATCCAGCATTGAAGGAGATGCAGGAGTTGTGCCCCGAGTCGGAGACTGTACTTCTCTCGTCAACACACGGCCAATGCCCGAAATGCGAAAATAGTGATCTGGTGATCCAGCCAGACAAAAGCAGAGGCCGCATTGGGAACAAATGGGAAGAACGGGGCGCGGCTTCTGCTTCGCAGGACTTCCGTTTCCGAATCTACACTCTCGGCGCAGGGGTCCAGTATTGTAGATTCCGTGAGGAGTATTGTCCATCCTGCAAGTGCTACTTCGTCGGCAATTGGATGTACAAGAAGAATGCGGGCATCGGCGGTCGCGCAAACTTCGGCAAGATGTCTGGCACCACCGCCGTGTCCACGAAGGCGGCCTTGCCGTACGTCGTGGTGGCCCGGGAGAAAGCGTGGTACGCGGTGGACCTGCAGCTGTTGCAGTTCATAACTGATGATTTGCAACGCAGCGGAGGCACGTTCACATCTGCCATCCACGTGTGGGCCAAGCAGCACCCAGGGCGCGAGCAGCAAAACCTCATCCTGGGCGACTTCATGACGCAGACAGACAACACGCGCGTGCGTCTGGAGGACGCCTGGTACATGCACAATGCAATTCGTCTGGCAGGAGCCAACGCTGAGAGTATTGAGTGGTCTTTCACGGAGAGCGGAATAGAGCGCGCCCTTACGAATATTGCGGCATGCGTGCGAAGGGCGCACCTGGCGCGCATCGCGGAGCACGTGCGGACGTGCCCGAAATGCGTTGACAAGCTCGTGGTGTTGCTTGATGGCAAGCACGGCGCCCGCCGATTCATCTGCGGCGGCTTGGAGGGCTATGAACCCATGGAGGGCCTGGAGTTGGAGTTGTACACTGGCTGCCAACGGAATGCCCCCACGAAACAATTCTTTTGCAAGTTCTGCCGCCCGTCCAAGATAGAGCAAGCGCACTTGATACCCCAGAAGGAGATCTTGGGCGTCGCTCCTCCAGGACCGGCCGCTGACGGCGACTCCGCGCTGCGGTACGTGGTGAGCTGCTACGACCCCGATTTGCCAGAACGCCCCTTCGAGGTGCACTTGCCGCGAGCCGAGGTGGAGAAGGACTTGTTGGCGAAGTTCGAGAAGTCGCTGCTTCGGAGCCGGGGCGATCACGGCAACAAGAAGTCGCGCCCGGCGTGGATCAAGGGAAGCCGGCAATTTGCGCGCTGGCTGAGGAAACAGGCGCCGGCTTGTGAGCCGGCCAGCTCGGTCGCGGCGAGCAATGGCGCAGGCGCCCGGGGCGGGGCAAAGAAGGCTCGGCGTGGCTCTGCTTCTCGGGCGCCTGCCCGGAAGGCTGCCCAGGCGGTCAGGAGTGGCAAGGGCAAGGCCGCGGGCATTTCCCGCCGATCAGGAAGAGGGAGTGCCAGCGGGGCCTTGGCCACGGCACCGAAGCGGTCAGCTCCAGCCAAGTCGAAGAAGCGGCCGGCGGCGGCCGATGTGAGCAGCAGCGCAAGCAGTGCCCACTCATTGAGGAGCCGCTGCAAGGGATGGCTTGCTCTGGACAGCAAGCAGGAGGAAGCTATCCAGGCGTGCGGCGTTGACAAACTCCACGGGAGCAACAAAGTCAGACGCTGCACTGGAGGCATCGTGACAGCAGTAACATCGTGCGGCATGCTGGTGGACTGGATGGAGCTCTTCCGGGGCGAGTCCATCGAGCTGCTATATGCGTTCGCGCTGCGGCTTCACAAGGACGGATGGCGACGCCCGAGGTTCTGCTCATGTCACGAGCCCCCCCCACTTCGGCCAGCGTGGAGGGGGGGGGGGGTCGAAGGGTCGAGGGATAGTGAAAGGGCGCAATAGGGGGATGTAGAGGCGGAAATGGAGGGAAGGGGAAGGAGGGAAAGGAGGGGATGGGGGGCGGGGGGGGGAGGGGCGAGATGAGGAAAAAGGGGGGAGAGATGAAGGAATGAAGACATGCACGCATGGATGCATCTCTTTTCGGGAATGGGCGGGGCTCGGGCTGAGCAGAGCGCGCTGGCGCTGGCATCGATCGGGCAGGATGGCCGCGAGCTGGGCTTCGTCATTGCGGCCCTGGGGTACGACAATGCGTGCAAGCTTCTGTCACTTGCCCGGGCGAAGGAAACGCAGTTCCTACCATGGACGAAGTCTTTCGTGGAGGAAGTGCGGATGGTGTTGGACAGGTTCCACCGGGACAACCACACTTGGTGTTTGAACAACATGCCAGAAGTGGACCCCCTGAGGCCAGATAATGCCAAGTTGTTGGACAAGAAAAACACGGAGGCATGTGAGCAGTTGAACTCTTGGATCAGCGGGAGGACACGGAGTGGCCTCGAGATGACGCGGGGGCACTTCCAGATGCACTGGTGGATCCTTTTTGACGCCCACAACCAATGGCTCGAGCGAGAAGCGGCATGCGAGCGCAGGCGTTGCGAGGCGGGGCCCATGCAGCGCCGGGAGAGTGGGGCACCTCAACGTGCGGGGACTGCTAGTAAGTAGGCGTCTAGGCCCGCGCTGACACGGCGTGGCATATTGCATTGCGTAGATTTTGTGCATGCCAGCTGGTTTTACCTTCGACCCCTTTGGAGCGCGTTGCGCTCCGGACTGGAACTGCGGCGTTGGAGGTGCGTCGAGAGCAACAAAAAACATCCGGATTGGCATCGCTGTTACTGCGCGTGCGCCCGTTCACTCAGCATCGCAATCATCATCGTCCATGGTGCGTTGAGATGGAGACGCTCATTATTGACAAGTGCTCGTAGGGCAGTCTCGCTTGCCGAATCGGCAGGGAAGTCTGGAGGAAGAGGAGTCGGATGCGCCAGGAGCTTCCGAGAATGTGGTGGCATCTCCAGTGCTCAAGGGAAACTCGCCCCCCAAACAGTTCTTGCACATGAACGTGCTTACTTGTGTTGCCAAGTTTCCACCGCGTTCGCGCTCGTGCCGTCAGCGTTGGCGCCCGCATCATCACCATCTCTAACATCATCAGATATTATCAGTTGCTCGAGGAGTGCGCGCATCAGGTCCGATATCAGCGCTTACCAACATCGACCCATGCATTCGCATCGCCGCCGCCAGGGGTCCCGACAGCCACATCAGCATCAGGCTCTCTCGGATCGCCGGGAGATCGCTGCACTGCGCCTCAGTCCAAATATCGCCCAGTCTCAACGGGAACAGCTACCATGCAGCGGATCGCGCTCATCGCGTTGTTCGTCGTCGCCCTCACCGCGAACCATGTCGCAGCAGCTCCAAAAGGTCGCCGCCCGGGTCGCGGCGCAGACGCAAGCCAACAGTTGCCAGCAATGACGAAAGGAGAAATCCGGACCTTGTACCGCATCCTGGAGAACCAGAACCCGTTCCCCGAAGAAGCTGCGCGCCGGGCGACGCCACTCATGTGGAAGGTGGCCTCGGCGCTGGGCAAGGCGACATCTCTGCACGCTTCGTGTGTCTACGTCCACCTCATGATTCTGGTAGCCACAACGCTTGGGGCAGTTCAACTCAGGTACGGTGGCATACTATCCCGACACTGCAACTTGCTCATGCTACAGCATGGCGAACCTGGCGACGGAAAATCGGTCGCCCTCTGGCTGGACGTGCAGGTGTTAGGATTCTACGACATGATACGGGAGAGGCGCTCCAAGAAGAAGTACGAGGATGCCGCCCAGAAGCACAAGGACGACCCAGACAATAACCCAGAGCCAGCAAAAGAACACGCCAAAGACACGATCTTCAACAAGGGTACCTTCATCGGTCTCGGGAACTTCATGCAGGCGCAAGGGGAAACGGCGTTTCTCGCGCTGCACGAGGGGAAGACGTGGCTACCGCAGACCTTCGACAACGGGCCAGGCGGCGGCATCGATGATCTGAACCAGATTCACGATCATGATCTGTACAAGAACCACCCTGGGAACACGCAGAACCGTTTCTTGGTGCGGAACCCGCACTTGTGCGGTGCGGTCATGATGCACATTGAGGAAGTGTACGAGCAAGCACAGAAGCCCGACACAACAGCAGGCATGATGAGATTCCTGATCGGCCACTTCACCGCCGTCGTGAACAAGATCCTACCCGATGCACCAGCACCTCAGGTGGCGCGCCTCCTGGAGGACGATCCAGATTACTTCAACGACTTGGAATACGACCATGTAGTGACCGCTATCGGGAAGGTTATGCTGACGGCCTCGGCGCTGTACGTACGGGGAGAGGAGCGCCCGGACGAGAAGAACAAGAAGAACAGGTACTCCAAGGTGCGTGGGACGCATTTTCTGCCGTGGGCTGAGGACGTGATGGAGCACTTCCGCAAGCAATTCAACTCGGCTGCGGACTACGTGCGGGAGGAGGCGCGCGCGTCGAAGGGCGCGGACGAAGACAGTGGATATGCCACTGCGCGGAAGGACATGACGAGGACGCTCCAGTTCATCCCGCCTTTGGACATAGGCGAGAAGGTCATCGACTACTTGCTGCAGAAGGCTGGCAAGACGCCGGACATGATCAGGGAGATGACCGGCGAGGAGATCGTGAACTGCCTCGGGGAGGGCGAGGTGCCTCTTGACTTCGTGGACTCCGTGGACCGGGTCGCCGTCGCCCCGGAGATTCAGGGGCCAGCGCCGCATTTCCGGAACCCTTTGTCCTCTGGGTCCCAGGGCCAGCCCGCGCAGGCGTCAATGAGGCAATGAGAAGGGGGGGGAAGGCATTAACGAGGACGAGGAAGTAAGAGGGGCGAGGAGGAAGGGCATGGTGGACGGATGGAAGGTGGAGGGAAGGGCGCGCCGAGGTACAAGGGTGGAGCAAGGGGAAGGGGGGGGGGGGAGGGGGAATGAGTGATTTAATGATTGATTGTTGGAGAGCCTGGCAGCCGCTTCGGACGCGCGGGGTCTCCTGGGATCTATCAGGGGATGTCCGGGCGTTGCGTTCTTTTTGCTAGTGGCAGGTATCCTGGCCGCGTTGGCAACTCTGCGCTGCAAGGGCAGGGCGAGCACAATGCATTAAGCGCAAGAAAGCACCGGGAGAGTTTGGCGGGCCTGCGAGGGCCCTCTGTGACGAGCGCGGTACCGAGGGCATCTCGCGTCACTGTGCCCGAAGGGGGAGGCGGATTCAACGCTCCTCTGTGGACGTTGCTGTAGCCGTGGGGGAATGGTTCTCGCGCAATTTTCGGATGACGATCAATGCGAGGGAGACGGCGCGAACGTTCATGCAGGACCGAGCCAAGCAAGCAGCCATGCCTCCTGCCAAGTTGTCGTCCATCGAGAAAATTGTTAGCCCAGCCGTTTGCGCGCGGGTAAACCCCATGACGACCCTGCGCAAGGTCGCCCAGAACTGGGACATGAAGGCTTTCGCGCAGAATCCATGCACGACAGAGGTCCAGATCCACGCCGCACACGTGGACCTCATCCTCTTGAGCATGATGGGCTTCCTCGCAGTGGGCCCAGGCCGCGCGACCCTCGCAGCGTACAGGCGGGACAGCGAGAGCTTCGTCAAGGCGTGCAACAGGATGCTGGATTGGGACCCGGACGTATCCATGGAGGAATTGCGGCAGATTGCGCCAGAAGCCGACGAGGACTCGGTGGCGGGTGACCATTCTGTTGCCGACAGGCCCTGCTTCGAATGCCAATCCTGCCCTTTAGTTTGATCCAGACAATGAGGTTCTCATAGATGGCAACCTGTTGTTTGAATCACCGCAGTGCGAGTATCTTTGAAGAGCGACTAGCGCAATGCAACGCGTCCATAGACCGATCAACAACATAGAACACGCTGGACAACGTTGCCCAACACAACCGAAACAGAACATATAGCATTCAAGAAGACGTGCAGGATTGGCACCCGTAGGCTCTGCCGTGGCGTGAAGGACCTGTTGGAGGGCAAGGCGGTGGACTTCGCGAGCTTGCAGTCGATCGAAGCGCCCCACGCCGATAATGTACCGCTTGAGCCCATCCCCGCATCCCAAGTAGTCCCGGCGACGCCTCCAGAGGCAACGGGGGCGGCGGTGCCTGGTGAACAGGCGAAGGGAGTGGCGGGACTAACCCAAGCTGCGTCCGGGGTCGATGAGACTGAGGGATCGGGGTCGCGGCCGTTGAAGAAGTTGCGCATGGAGCCGCCCCTGCAGGCGGAGGAGTTCAAGACAGATGCCGGACTGAAGAAGAGGATGTTGCTGTCGGTGCTGCAGTCGTCGCAAGATCCGCACACCTTGAGCAAGAATGCGAGCTCCTTCAGGGGCAACGCTGACACCGTCGAAGCGGCGCTCCGCGTGGTGTTCCGCTTCCTGGCGGCTGCTGGGCTGGCTGTGTGGAGCCAGGGTAAGAGCAACAGCGGCGTCTCCGTGCGGGGCCCGCCCCAAGTGCACGCCGAGGCAGTGTGCAATGAGATCGCGGAGAAGCTCGGGTTGCAAGCCCGTGCCAAGAGCAAGCTGCAGGAGAGCTTGGTCGCGAAAGCCACGGAGGGCGACTTCAACGTGGACGAGTTCAAGCGCGTGAGCGCGCTGCTGGGCGACAGCCTGAAAGAAGCGTGAGCGCTCGCAGGGGCGGTGGAGCAGAGCGCGGCGCTCCAGGAGCAGTGCGCGCAGATATCCGCGTGCTCTGCGACGCAAAGCGCTGATTTACAGCAGGGGGTCACCTTTCCTCATTTTCCTGATCCCTTGTCTCTTCCTCCGAAACTTCGAAGAACGCTGTGGGTGGAGGGCCCGCCGCTCTCTCTGCTAGGTTAGCTGCCACGTGCAAGGCCGAGCTTGTGATTATCGGCGGGAGCGATCCTCCGCCCCTTCCCCCAACTTCCCTTCAAATTGTCACTGCCTGGTCCAGGCAACGAGGCGTCCTGCCGAGGCCTCGTTCTCTGGTGCTCCGTGCTTCCAGGCAAAATAATCGCCATCGTCGTCATCGCCGCCTCGCCATCGCCCTCGCAGCCCTCGCAGCTATCATCGCGGCCACGATCGCCGACAAATTTGGTTATCACTAGCAGCATCAGCACCAGTGCTATCCTTATCGTCGTCGACATGATTATCATGAACGACATCACCGTCACGGTGTTCATTCTTCTCGTCGTCATCATCTTCTCCACCATCCGTCGTCGTCGTCGTCGGCGTCATCGTCTTGATTCGCGTCGTCGCCATCAACATCATCATCGCCGAGCTGACCATCACCGTTATCATCATCACCAGTGCGGTCGTCGGTATTACAGTCGTCGGCATCCTCAGCATTGCCATCGTCATCGTCATACTCACCATCGCCATCGTAGTCACGACCGTGATATTGGCAGCGATAATCACTATACTACCATTTGTCATCATCATCGTCTTCGTCACCATCATCATCGTCATCGTCATCAACATCGCCATCATAATCATTACCACCACCATCGCCATCATCATCATCACCAGGGTCATCATCATCATCATCACCATCATCATCATCGTCGTCGTTTGCGTCATCAACATTGACGTCATCATGATCACCACCAACATCATCATCGACATCACCATCGTGATCGTCGGGTCGCCGAGTCACCGGATCGTCGGGTCGCCGATTCACAAGATCGCCGGGTCGCCGGGTCGTCGGGTCGCCGGGTCGCCGGGTCGCCGGGTCGCCGGGTCGCGGGGTCGGCGGGACGCCGGGTCGCCGGGTCGCGGGTCGCCGGGTCTCCGGTCGCCGTCGATCGCCGGGTCGCCGGGTCGGGTCGGGTCGCCGGGTCGCCGGGTCGCCGGGTCGCCGGGTCGCCGGGTCGCGGGTCGCGGGACGCCGGGTCGCCGGGTCGCCGGGTCGCCGGGTCGCCGGGTCGCCGGGTCGCCGGGTCGCCGGGTCGCCGGGTCGCCGGGTCGCCGGGTGCGCGGGTCGCCGGGTCGGCCGGGTCGCCGGGTCGCCGGGTCGCCGGGGGGTCGCCGGGTCGCCGGGTCGCCGGGTCGCCGGGTCGCCGGGGTCGCCGGGTCGCCGGGTCGCCGGGTCGCCGGGTCGCCGGGACGCCGGGTCGCCGGGTCGCCGGGTCGCCGGGTCGCCGGGTCGCCGGGTCGCCGGGTTGCCCGGTCGCCGGGTCGCCGGGTCGCCGGTCGCCGGGTCGCCGGGTCGCCGGGATGCCAGGTTGCCGGGTCGCCGGGTCGCCGGGTCGCCGGGTTGCTGTGTGGCCGCGTCGCCGCGTCGCCGGGTCGCCGGGTCGCCGGGGCGCCGGGTCGCCCGGTCGCCGGGTCGCCGGGATGCCGGGTCGCCGGGTCGCCGGGTCGCCGGGTCGCCGGGATGCGGGGTCGCCGGGGGGGCGCTGGGACGCCGGGTCGCCGGGGCGCCAGGGCGCCGGGTCGCCGGGTCGCCGGGTCGCCGGGTCGCCGGGTCGCTGCATGGGTCGCCGGGAAACCGGGTCGCAGGGTCGCCGGGAGGCCGGGTCGCCGGGTCGCCGGGTCGCCGGGTCGCCGGGTCGCCGGGTCGCCGGGTCGCCGGGTCGCCGGGTCGCCGGGTCGCCGGGTCGCCGGGTCGCCGGGTCGCCGGGTCGCCGGGTCGCCGGGTCGCCGGGTCGCCGGGTCGCCGGGTGGCCGGGTCGCCGCCGGGTCGCCGGGTCGCCGCCGGGTCGCCGGCCCTTGTGGAATTCTCTCTGATTTTTCGACACCCCTCACGAGGATCGTGGCCCCCGAGGGGGGGGGCCGCAATCGACTACCCCCCCTCCTGCCCCAAGAGGCCCCCAAGAGCCCCCCAAGAGGCCCTGGGGGCCCCCAAGACGCCGCCAAGGAGCCCCAAGAGACTCCCAAGAGGTCCCCCAAAGGCCCCCAAGAGTCCCTAAAGAGGGCTCCAGGGCCGGCAGAATGAGCGAAGCGATAAAATATACCCCGAATTCCAGACATGGCACTAAGCTCACAAAACCAGAACCTAAGCACCTGGCAGGCCCGTCAGCAAGGATGGTACTAAATCTGGGCGCGAAGCATGCGTCAGAACCAAGATGAAACATGATGAAATGGGGCAGCCATGCGAGAGCCAAACTCCGCCGACAGCACTGCGCAAGCCTAAGGCGGACCCAAGAAACTTGGGCGGCTGCCTACATGGTCGGACAGTGCCGGGCGAAGGAAACGGCCTCGGCCTACATGCACACCGTGCCACTGCGCAAATTGGGAGGAGGGGGGCACCTGCATGCTGCGAGTGCACGTGGGCTGGTGGGCCCTCATCGGCCTCGAAATTTCCAGCCAGCCTGGACCAACAAACAGGCACCACGAATCCGAAGAAGGAAACGGCAGGAAGGAGAGAGAAGGAGGAGGAGAGGAGGAGGTGGCACCTGTACACTTTCGCCGAGCGTCCCATGACAGGAGGACCGCCGACTGAACTCACATCGGCCCGTCGCACCCGGAGAGGTCCGTTGCAGCCTTCCGCGCCTGGCCGCACTGCTCCACGCCGTGCTGCAAGCACCCGTGGCGCAGCGCCACGACGCGGTGCCCAGCGACGTGGAAGTCCCCGGGGCGCATCTGCTCCCAGACTTCCTGCTCCCTCCGTAAACCTGGCACGATCCCGACACGAGTCCTGGGGGCAGAACCTGGAGGCGAACAGAAGCGAACCCACGAAACGAAAACAAGACAAAAAAACAGAGGGACCCCGGACCGCCCAGATATCTATACAATGCCCAAGAGGGCTACACTGAGCCCCATTCGTCCTCGTGCTGCCGTGACTGCTGCGGCTGCGTCTGCGGGCGCCGGGACTGCATGGCGCTGCCGGGCCTTGGGCGCTGCTGGCGAGCTGCCCCGCCGCGCGGCGCCGTGCCGATGCAAATCGCCGTGCTGCTCATAGTCGTGCTGCTCCGCCGTGCCCATCACCGCCATGCTCCCGAAGTCGTGGTGCTGGGACACCCAAGGCGCGGGTGCGGCACTCCAGCGTGGCACAGCGTCACGTGCTACGCAGCGTCACACTGAAGACAGCCGTCGTTTAGCTCGGAGTCGTACTGCTGTAACCCGTCGTGCTGAGCACCAATGTCGTGGGAGTCGCATACGACACTTCTGTCAAAGGTGATTTGGGCACTGCCGTAGGTGCTGCCGTCGACGTCCGTATGAGCGAGGTCGCCAGGGGTGGTGTCGGCACAGAGGCCAGAACTGCCGTGGGAGCTACATGCTTCTGTCTGCGCTGCCGTGGCCACTGCCGTTGGTGCCGTTGGTGCTGCCGTCGACGCCCATGCGAACGAGGACATCCGGAACACTGCCGGTGCTGGCGTCGGTGCTGGCAACGGCGTCCGGATAGGCGTAAGCGTTGATGCTGGCGTCGGTGCTGGCATCGGCGCTGGCCTAACGTCGCAGGTGCTGGTGCTGGCGTTGGTGCTGACGCCGGAGCTGGCGTCGGAGCTGGCGTAGACGCCGGCGTGTGCTGGCGTTGGCGCTGGTGTAGGCGCCAGCGTTGATGCCGGCGAGGCGCCGGTGTTGATGCTATCATCGGTGCTGGCGCCAGCGCTGGCGGAGGTGCTGGCTTTTAGGGATGTCGTCGGTGCTGGCGACTGTGCTGATGTAGGCGCGTGCATTGGTACCTGCGTGGGCGCCAGCGGTGGTGCGGGCATCGTTGCTGACGTCGGTGCTGTAGGCAGTGGCGTTGGTGTCGGCGTAGGCGCTGGCGGTGATGCTGGCGTCGATGGCGTCATCGGCGTTGGCTCAGGCGCTGGCGTTGGTGCTGGCGACGGTGCTGGCTTCGGTGCTGGTGCAGGCGCTAGCGCTGGTGCCAGTGTAGGCGCTGGCGCTCGTGCTGGCTTCGGTGCTGGGGTCGGCGCTGGATGCAGGCGCTGGCGCTGGTGCCGACGTAGGTGCCAGCGGCGGTGCTGGCATCGGTGGTGGAGTCGGCGCTGGCGTAGGCTTCATCGAAATGTTAAACTCTTGCAGTGTCTAAGTCGAATGTGTGCGGCACTGAGGCGAGAGCCCCATTTTGAAAACGACCCGCCCTCAATCCGTGAAACGGTGGCAAACGTTCAAAGCATATGTGCGCGGCGCTAAGGCGCGAGCCACACTGTGGAAACGACCCGCCCTCAATCCGTGGTGAAACTCTTGCAAAGTATTGAAACGAATGTGCGCGGAGATAGGGTGAGGGCCAAAGTTTGAAAACCAGCCGCCCCCCATCTGTGAAACTGCTGTCAACTTCTAAGCCTCAGGCTCATGAGTGGTAATGAAAGCTCAGGCGAAACGCCTGGCCCTTCCGACCGGCCCTGGGGTGCGACAGGGAGGAGCTATCCATAGGGACAAGGGATTGTGGAGGAGGAGGCGGCGGAGGGGGTGAGGAGGAGGAGGGGAGGGGGAAGAGGGAAGGGGGAGAAGAAGAAGGCGGAAGGGGAGGGGGGGAGACCGCATTCCGCTGGACCTCCTAAGCAATCACAGGTGTGCCGATAATCCCACCAGCCCTTTGGGCGTGAGTGGTTTAGAGAGCCCGCTCTGTTCTCAACCCCCTTCTTCCCTTTCGGGGAGGGGTTTACCCCGCCCCCTACCCCCTCCCCCTGGGCCTGGAGAGGGCGCCCCGCGGGTGGTTGGAGGGGTCTTTTTCGACTCCTGGGAGGGCTAAAATTCGACACCCCTCACGAGGA